TTAGCATTTAAAAGATGTAAACAAACTTGAAAAGTAATTTTTTATCACCTCCGTTCCCCCCCCCCCTCTCCTCCCTCCATCATCCCGTGTAAAATAATAATTGTAATCTCAAGTTAATCAAAAATCTCATTATCAAGGAGTTCGCATCTCCACCCCCCCCCCACAAATATGCAGGGTGTCCCACAAAAAATGCCAGTTGAGAGATGACATTAAGAATTTTTTTTATTTAAAAAATATTTTTCGGCATTCGCTCGACAATGCCTCAAATTATTCCAAAGATGAAAGACGATCTTCAAGCCGTCTCTCAACTGTATTGTTTCCTGGGACATCCTGTCCTTAAGTGTATACAGATCACAGAGCCAACCCACTGGCAAGACTTGAATAATTTATATTCTAAGTTCATTATACTTATATTGTAAATATATATTCTTGTACATATTAATTCTTGTTGTCCGTGTTCATTGTACATATATATATTATTGTTGTCTGTGTTCATTGTACATATATATATTCTTGTTGTCTTTGTTCATTGTACATATATATATTCTTGTTGTCCGTGTTCATTGCACATATATATTCGTGTTGTCCTTGTTCATTGCAATATATATTCTTGTTGTCCGTGTTCATTGTACATATATATACTCTTGTTGTCCGTGTTCATTGTACATATATATTCTTGCTGTCAGTGTTCATTGTACATATATATTCTTGTTGTCCGTGTTCATTGTACATATATATTCTTGTTGTCCGTGTTCATTGTACATATATATTCTTGTTGTCCGTGTTCATTGTACATATATATTCTTGTAAGGTAGGCGTCATAACACTTTCAAGTCGAGGCTGACTATAATTTAATAATTAACTTTTAACTTATGCCTTGGGCCTTTGGTTTATTTTATAGCTACGCTATAATGCTTCAGTTTAAGTGAGTAAAAATGCTGTAATGATTTAAACGATAAATCTCTTGCATATTTTAGACCACTGTATAAATTTGTATATTTTACTAAAATTATACTTTGAAATTTGTACATTATCTAAAATCTATTGCAAAGGCATCAAGTTTAAAAAAAAACTCAAATTTTTGAATCCCTATAATCTTGCAACCTGATGTTAGTAAACATATACATGTTAAACTTAGATTATTTTATTAAAAAGAATTCATAATTTGAAATATTTAAGGTTTAGGACATCGCTTGCGCGAATATAAGTTTTAAAAAACACAAAGTTTGGGGGCAAAGACTCAATTTCTTTATAAGAAAACGAAAAGAACGTTTTTCTAAAGTCAATTGTGTTCTATTACCCCCCTCCCTCTCAGACTTGTTCTACTCTTTCTATTCCAATAAAACAAAGTTTCGAAACAAAAGTGTGTTGCTACGAATTTTTCTGTTTTGTTTTCAATTTTTTATTGTTTGAATAAAAAGAAATGTTTGCATAATCTAAGTTTAATTGGTAATTTTCTGTTAAAGAGAAAATTTAGGTTTCTAACAAAAATTTCTAAGATTTTTTTTTTTTGCGATCTGGGCAGTTAGAGTATTAAATTTTGTTTACAGTAACGAGAAAATGTTATGGAAAACCCTAAATAAGTGTTCTTTCTACATTAATTTTTGTGGTTTGTCCCTTAAATACTTTTACACTGATTAAATTGGTAGCTTTCAACTTTACTTCAATATCAATAAAGAAGAAACACTTTAAATTTGAATAAAATGAATAAAAAGGTTTTAATAAAATTCAAGTGGAAGGAGACTGAGAGGAATGGCTAAAAATGATTTCAGAACAGAAAATTGCGAATTTTCTTATTTCAATTTTGCAAATTTTCTATGATGCTGTAATTCAATCTTTACAAAATTTTTGAATTTGATAAAAATAATATTTATACACATTTTTGCCTTTCTGAATATTTGATTTTGAGAAAAAAAGGTTCGCGGATTTTTAAAAGAAATGTCTAAAAAATATTGAAATAACACTATACAAGAAAGTTGCACAAAAAAGGTAAATTTTGCACCAGGCGCTGCTAATCACATTACCAGAAAGTTTTATGTTTCAGCTTTTCCTTGTTGTGATCACGTACAACTAAATATTTTAAGTTGTATAAAATTATTAGAATTTTACACAGTGTATGCAATTGCACAATTAATACTGTTAACCAATGCCTCTCTTTTGAATATACTCAATAAACTAATTTTGTTATTTGATTCAAGTAATGCATTATTCATAATATGAACCTTTAAAATAAAAAACTCTTTAAAGTGAACGGATCACAAAAAATTTAAAAATTGTTTTGAAAAATCTTCGCAATTTAAATACGAATTTATCACTGTAAACCAGAATAAAATAGACGAGGATTGTTAAAATTTACTCCTTTTACACTGAAGCTACAAACCAAGGGCGTTAAGACACTTCAAAGTTGATCCGTTCATAAAAACTGTTTAATTTTCATGGTTCTCTATATCTCAATTTGTTTTTTTTTATAAAATTTCCTTGTAAACCCCTACCCCCCCCCCCCCCCCCTCCTTCTCTTCTCTTTGCGCCCACGCACCTCCGTGATAGCTGATTGTCTCCGTTGTGACCTCCTACTCTCCTCCAATACGACTGTAGACTCCGCTACTTTACTCTCGACTCTCATATCTCTCCACCCATCTATCTATCTATCCTGATCCATCTGTCTGTCAGTCTATCTGTCTATATATACTAGGCTTTCAGGGAGCTTCGTGCCCATCTTCTATTTCAATTGTGAACATTTGTTCTTTGTGTACATGGAAAACAAAAACCAAACAAAGTTCGCGGATTTAAAATAAAAGAAATTTCGTGGATTTTCTAAATTTAATGAAATTCGAATTTTTGTTGAAGGGCAATTTTCTAAAATTTTCATATTCCTAAACCTTCCTATGGGGTCAAGTGAGGTCCCACACAGAATTTGTGTCCGATCGGTTCAACCGTTTAGACACTTTACAAACAAACAGACACCCATGCAGACAAGCAAAGTATATCTATGGAGGCTAATTTTTAATACCTGTCTATCTGTCTTACTATCTAATTGTCTGTCTCTATCTGACTTACTATCAAACTTTCTTTGTATATATTACTCGCCAAAAGGCCCGGCGTTGCCCGTGGGAAAAATAATTTTATAAAAAATATGTTGGACAAAAAATTCTCGAATTTGTTTAGCCTATAACACCCCCCGACCACCTATGAAAAATTTCAGCCCATACGAATGTCTTTTTTATTATATAGATTTATATATTTATCTAATTATCTTCTTTCTATCTTTCTGTCTTTATGTCTATCTATATATGTCTGTCTATCTGTCTATCGTTTCTTTCTTTCTTTTATTGTCACCTTATTTTTCCCGAAAATTTCGCGTTCATTTTTTCGCGCGATTTTGCATTCTTTTTTTCTTGAATTTTTTTGCAAAACCTATTGATGCGAAATTTCGCGAAAAAAGCAAAAATGTTCGCATTTTCCGAGAGCAAACGAAAAGTGATATTTTCGGCAAAAATTGCAAACTGTTCACGAAAAGATTTTCTTTCTTCGCTGAAAAACAACAAAGCTAATATGTAGAATGGAAACGAACAATTTTATGGCTCATGTCCGTCTATCCTTCCCCCGCTCGGTGGAGTTAGATGAAGCTATATAATGGGGAGTAGAGTTTAAACCGTCAAATGCAAACAACTCAATATTTTCCTCTAAAACTACTCGATAACTAGTTTGGATACTCTTACGATCAGTTTCAACGCACAACAGCATGAACATATGATGCAGGTATAATATCTATTATATAACTTTTGTGTTAGTGTACTATTATTTATTTTCTAGTCCCTCCTCATATTGTTGTTTTTCAATATTTGGAAATATTTGTCTGTTTACCAATTTGAGATTTGTTATATTGCAAAAACATTCTTTTTATAAAGATTGTTAAAAAGGGCATTCATTCCTTAACCTTGTTCTTATTCAAAATACCCTATCGTGAAATTTTCTAATAAATAAATAAATGAAAATAAATGTGAAAACTAAAATCTATGTATATTAACAGATTTATTACAACAGGGTTACCAACAAAGGATGCGACTTCCCTTTTGATTTAAACGTATGGTAGTTGAACTGAGAACGCAGTTTTGTGAAGAGAATTTTTTTAGGATTCATTTGAGTCCTTCAGACGTTTTTACGGGGTATATTTGTTCAGCAAGAGCGCAAATTCAATCGTTAAAATCTTCATAGATTGTTCATTTAGAAAGGATGATTTTGAGAATCGGTTTTAAAAAAATAATTCAATAATCACGACGAAAAATTAAAAACAAATTCTAATGTAAACTTAATAAATGTTTAGGAACACATTTCTTAATAGAAATTTGTCAATAAATCAATGTTGGGATCAATCATTTCTTTTTCATCATTGTATTGAATTTCTAATTCTTTATTTATTTGTTCGCAGATTTCTTGAAATTCTTCAAATGACGTCTTTTCAATACAAATTTCAGGAAATCTACAGAAAATGTGTGTGAACAATAAGACATTATAAACCAATGACTGAATAAGAACACTTTTTTTCGATGATAATTAATTTTTATCTTCTCAACATGTTCCTAAACAACTAATTAGTTTACAGTAGAATTTTTAATGTTTAAGTCTATTCCACTTTAGTTCACTTTGCATTAAAGGACGTTAATTTGATGTCTTTTTGTGACGTCAAAATGACTTTAAACATCCTAAAAAGATGTCAATTTGATGTCGGTTGTCTTGCTGGGAGCATTCTCTGTGGGTAACCCTTTATCCAGTGGCATACACAGGAATNTTAAATTTTTTTTATTTCCACGGGGGGGGAGGGCAGGGCCCTTCCCCTGTGTACGCCTCGGTGTCTGTATTAAACTTTTCATGAAATGCACTTTTAATTCGTGATTTAGAGAAATAAAATGGCGTACACCGCTGTCATGTATATTAACTAAACTAAAAATATTTCGATCTACTGATCGAGTACACAACTGTCATGAAGAACAAAAAACGAGGATGCTATGGAAAATATATTAGGATCAATTATTTATGTTTAAAAATGCACAGGGTTTACAAAGAACTAGAAATAGCACCGAGATAATTTTCTTGTTTTTTTTATTCAACTTTCTTCTTATCAGAGTTGATTTTCTTGTGAAGATTTATCAAATCAGCCATCACGTTTCTTCCAAGACAGGCCTGGAAAAATAGAAAATAAGGAAATGTTCAAGTTAAAGTTTTAACTTCCTTCATTTTCTTTGTAGCGCTACATAGCATAAATTCGCAAGTCCCTCTTCNTTTGACCAGAGGGGGGGGGGGGGCTTAATCATTTATACATTCAAGAACATGAGTTGAATTTAGCGTGTATATTGTACAGTATGTCCAAATAAACATGAAAGTTGAGAGACGACTTGAATATCGTCTTTGATTTCCAATAATTGATATATGACGTAAAGATGCTTAAACAAATCAAAAGTCTAATGAGCTTTCTAAGATGTGGTCTACATTCTTTGTATCTATAAAAATGACGGAGATATTAAACATTTGAACAGTTTTGTTGATTTTTAATTAACTGGAATCTGGACAAATTTCCTAATATTTCTGTCAATTAAAAAAAATGGTGCGACCACATTTTGGAAATCCCGAGACTGTTAATTTTCAGTGTTAAATGTTTTAAGTGTGATACTAAGTATATTTACGAAATAAACCTGCTTGGAACAAAGACGATATAGAAGTCGTCATTTAAATCCACTGTTTTATAGGGCACCCCGTGTATACCTGTGCTGTTAGAATACCACTGAATAGCGCGCCGGTAAACCCACAGCTGAGAATATCCTGCCCTGTCAGGTACAAACCAGGGATATCTGTCTCAGGTCTAAATATTTAATATTGTGCTCAAACCTTGAATAAAGAGGTTTAAAATATACTAAATATACTAAATATACTAAATATCCTAAATATACTAAATATCCTTTAAACAATGCTTTCAAGTTAATTAATATTTTGAAGAAATCAGGGGATTATGTACCCTGTTCTGAAAAAAATTCTTTTAACGTCTAAAAATAAATTAATAGGGAGAAAACTATTAGCTAATCATTTCAATCAGAGGCTTTCGCAGGGAAAGGGGAGCTATGGGAGTTCACAACCCTTTGAACTATCTTATGTTTCCAAGGGGTTTTCAGGCCTCAAGAAATTTCAGACCCTCCATGGACACGTTTCTGTGTAGGACCCTGATTTTAAATTCTTCAAAATATATATAATCTTCAAATAACTAGAAATGACAAAAATCAGAAAACACAGAGGGATAAATATTTCACTAAACTGTACCCCCCCCCCCTTCCCCTGATAGAAATGATTTATTTGAGAAAACATTGAAATTAGATCTAAACTATTCTTCATAAAGAAATATTGGAGACAGATTTTTTAAGAAAATGTACAGTGAGAACCAGAAAACTGTGGAATATGATCTCATGGTATAGTTTACATCTACACAGTGTTTACTAGTGAAAGTTCAAGAATACTAAAAATGTACAGTGAGAAGCAGAAAACTGTGGAATAGGATCTCATGGTATATTTAACATCTACACAGTGATTTCCACGGAATGATGGTTGATCTTTTATTTATTTATTTACTAGTGAAAGTTCAAGAATACTGAAATACAAACACTAGAATATTAATGGTTCCACTACCCTATTAGAATTTACTGTGAAAGCTTTTAAAGATGATAAGATATTCAGAGAAAACTTGGGAATATACTATATCTAAATATTCAGGGCACAACCTTTATTCATGTATCATTTCCCCCGCTTGGCACTAGGGCTGGGCTGTTTTTTTTTAAATCGTTTGTTTTTTGTTCTAGAATGAGATTGATGGCCTTTAAACTCGCATGAACAAGAATGGTTCCAAGGAACGGGTTGGAATGGGTTGAGAGGGGAAAGATGAGTGGGGGAAATGTAATTGTTCTTTTTTTCGAAACAATAGCATCGTTTTTGATAATTACATTCGTTACGTGATAGAACGATTGTTCCCTAAGAATGACGCCCAGCCCTACTTGGCGCATGGTTTTTTCTATTTATTTTAGTTAAAAAATATTCATAGAGAGAGAATTTGATAATTAAGTTTAAAGAAAATATCACATGAATCACATCCAAGGTTTATCTAAGCTCATATTATGTCCCTTCCAACAATTGACAATTTAGACCTTAGTTTGGCGATCATGATTAGTAATTCGGACCTTAACTTGGCGATCACAACTGTTGTTTGACAATTCTGACCTTAGTTTGGCGATCATGAGAGGATCAAAGCGTTCACTGCAATGATCTAACCCATAGATCTCTCCGTGTGGTGCTGCCAGGTAATGATTATTTGTCACAGGACTACCTATACAAATATTATTTTCTCTTTAATATCTCTTTAAATATTCATAGTCTTTGTTTAAAGTGTAGCCAAAACAATGTTCTTAAAAAATCAGAAAGAAAACAAAGAAACAGAAGAATGGAAAACATAAAATAAGAAAGGGAATAAAGAGAAATGAAAAAAAAGTAAGAAAAGAAAGATAAAGGAAAGAAAAAGGAAAGAGAAAGAAAAGAAAGAGAAAGGAAAGAAAGGGAAAGGAAAGAAAGGGAAAGGAAAGAAAGGGAAAGGAAAGAAAGAGAAAGGAAAGAAAGAAAGAGAAAGAAAAGAAAGAGAAAGGAAAAAAGGGAAAGGAAAGAAAGAGAAAGAAAAGAAAGAGAACGGGAAGAAAGGGAAAGGAAAGAAACAGAAAGGAAAGAAAGAGAAAGAAAAGAAATAGACAGAAAAGAAATAGAAAGGAAAGAAAGAGAAAGGAAAGAAAGAGAAAGGAAAGAAAGAGAAAGGAAAGAAAGAGAAAGGAAAGAAAGAGAAAGAAAAGAAAGAGAAAGAAAAGAAATAGAACGGAAAAAAGAGAAAAGAAGAAAGAGAAAGGAAAGAAAGAGAAAGGAAAGAAAGATAAAGGAAAGAAAGAGAAAGGAAAGAAAGAGAAAGGAAAGAAAGAGAAAGGAAAGAAAAAGAAAGGAAAGAAAAAGGAAAGAGAAAGAAAAGAAAAAGAAAGGAAAGAAAGAGAAAGGAAAGAAAGGGAAATGAAAGAAAGAGAAAGGAAAGAAAGAGAAAGGAAAGAAAGAGAAAGGAAAGAAAGAGAAAGGAAAGAAATAGAAAGGAAAGAAAGAGAAAGAAAAGAAATAGAAAGAAAAGAAATAGAAAGGAAAGAAAGAGAAAGGAAAGAAAGATAAAGGAAAGAAAGAGAAAAGAAAAAAAGATAAAGGAAAGAAAGATAAAGGAAAGAAAGAGAAAGGAAAGGAAGATAAAGGAAAGAAAGAGAAAGGAAAGAAAGAGAAAGGAAAGAAAGAGAAAGGAAAGAAAGAGAAAGGAAAGAAAGAGAAATGAAAGAGAAAGGAAAGAAAGAAAAATGAATGAAAGAGAAATGAAAGAAAGAGAACGGAAAGAAAGAGAAAGGAAAGAAAGAGAAAGGAAAGAAAAAGAAAGGAAAGAAAGAGAAAGGAAAAATTAACTGTTAGTTCCAAAAGTTCTGAATAAATTATCAATACAAAATTTTCAAATTGTGGTATTAAAAATAACGTTAAGTTTACCTATCTCAACATAATCAATTTTATCCCTAAGCTCTGGAAAGAGTTTAAGAGTATGTTCAACCATCTGATGCCCAATACAGTCCTTCAATTCCTTGTAAGCATCTCCCCTCTTCTTTACACCCTTAACATGTGTTAGAGGTATAAATATCAAATATATTCTTTTAAATAATTACCCCCCCCCCCCCCCCCAGACAGAAGGAACGGAAATAATTATAGAGGCTTGGAAGATATGAAAATGGTGACTGAAAAGTGCAATAAACCCTTTAATTATTCTTGCAAAAAATGAATATAGAACTTGGTAGATTTTTGTACATGCTTAATCTTATTCTGTTAAACGTACTAAACTTAAAACTGAAAAATCAATTATTTTGTTATGCTACACCTCGGTCTCTCTAAACTTAACTAGTAATCCTTGACTTATTGTAAACTTTCAAAACCTAGTAATATTCATCATATTGTAAACGTTTTAATATTAATTAGGTGGGGATAATACCCAAAACAGCAAATAGCTAATCTCCACCTAATTGCTATAATTACATATATATAGTTAACAATATTAAAATAGTTGCAGATTTTTTGCCTGTAACATTATAACTTGTATGTGTATTTTTAGCAATTAACTATATCTTGATATCTTATCTTATCTAAGTAAGCAAACTTTTAAAAATTTGTCATAAAATCAGCTCAGTAATGTCACAAACATCATGAGCATTACAAAAATTTTGTTTGCCCAAAGTCAACAATTTTTTTAATCTTTGGAAATCAATTCTTCTTTAAAAAAACATTGGAAAGAAAATATTGCTTAAATACTTATAAATACATAATTTCTTCTCCCCCACCTCCAAAAGAAGATCACTCCCCCCCATGTTTGGTATTTTTTATTAAGGTTTTATTTCCTTAATTGGGGAAATAAATGATTGTAAGGAGGTAAAAAAAAGTTAAGCTTAAAAAATATTCAACTCTTGAAAAAGTTATTTTAAGTTCAGAATACTAAAAGGTATTATTCGTAAATTGCATACAACTTTATCAAAACACATATCATTGAAGGCTAAATTTTTTAGGTCATTTTAAAAATTGAAATTATTTGAGGGATTGAGGGGTTGAGAGATATGCCTTGGTACCTTGTCTTTCCAATCCTTGAACCATTCCCAGTTAGCCAGGGTTACCAGGGCCAAGGTGGATTTGTCTTAAAAACAAGATATCATGTAAGGATGGGTGGAAAGAAATTCATATTTCAAATTTTTAATAAACAATTCCCTAATTTGAATGTTTGCCCCTGAAAGCAAGATGGATTTACTGAAATATCTTCGTTAACAATAAGCAAAGTTTTCCATTTTTACTCAAAATACAAAATCATTTTAAAGACCAAGTAAGAAGTTGTTTTGAAATTAACAGAAATTAGTGAGGGGGAGGGGGAAGGGGGGGGAGAAACATTTACCATTAGTTTGACCTAAATGGTATTTTCTGCAGAATGTAAATAACCTGTATGTAATGAAAGCTAACGACAGACATCAGTTATCAGAAAAATGTTATCAGAAAAATGTTAAATGTAGGATGTAGATCACATGTTTAGGATCCGGATCCAGAACCCATTAGTTTTTCAGGGATTCTGAAGCGGATGTAGAACCAAAAACTAATCCGAGATTATGAACCAACACAGCATTAACGTAGATTCACTTTGTTTAAAAAATATATCGGAAAAAACAATTTCAACCAAGGAAATTTTATTTTTCTAATTCCGAAAAATATTGCATTTTATTATCATCTCTCAGTCTTTAGTGACAAAATTGACAATGATCGATTCACAACAGCACCCTTTAAACATTTATCTGATAAAAAATGTGAAAGTTATTGTAGTTCTTTCGGGTTTAAAGTGTTTAATTCTAACAATATCTACATGTTTTCTACTGTATAGGAATGCGCGAGTCACTTTTGTAGAATACCCACAGTTGAAATCAATAAGTTTTAAAATAAAAAAACATTGATAACTAATTCATACTTAATCGGACAACGCTTTTAATCTGATGCCCGGTGCCATTGTGAATCGGACATTGCCATCTTTACAGGGAGGGTCAATTGACATTTCGCTTACAGTCCCTTTAAAACTGCATTCATTGATTGTATAGAAATCTGGATCTGATCTAACTTCACTCAGTCTATAGATCCGGATCCAGTTTAGCCTTAAATAGAATGGATCAGAATCCCTAACTAATTTAATCTGAATAATTCCACTCTAGATCCGTGAAATAGACTGGATCAGAATCCCTAAATAACTGTATCTGAATTAGCCCACTCTGGATCCGTAAAATAGACTGGATCAGAATCCCTAAATAACTGTATCTGGATTAGCCCACTCTGGATCCGTAAAACAGAATGGATCAGAATCCCTAAATAACTGTATATGTACCTGATCTGCCTGGGTGATTAGCCCACTCAGGATCCTTAGTGCTAGGGAAGGAGATGAAGAGAAGTGGAACTTCAGCTGTCATTGCTTCCTCAGCACTCAGATCAAAATAACTGGTAAAAACTGGATTGAAGAAACGGACTACTTGCCAAAAATTCTATTTTCTAATCTTTGTTGGAATCTGTTGTAAACCTTAATTCCTTCCCTTTTGGAAAACACCCTCCCCCCTCTCCCCCAAATTTGATCGATATAGGTTTATTCTCGCTGAATTTGGAAAGAACTTTGACATTTAAAACTGTAAATTCTGCTACATCAAATATCAAAGGTTTACATAATACATTATTAGATTGCAAAGATATAAGGATTATAAAATTAGGGGTTGTGGCATATATTCAGTTCCTTTCCAGCCAAACCTATTTGCAAGCAAACACTAACAAATTCATTTAAACTAAATTATTTACTTCATCTAGAAGAAAACAAGGTCTTACAGTCATTTTTCTTCCTTTTTTCCCCCCAAACCCAATGAAAGCTCATATTTTTGCCCCCCTCCCCCCCGAGGAGGGGGACAAGTTATGAATATAAAATGAAAACAAATGTATTTAAAAGGTTAAAACACTAATACTTACTCTAAAGCTGCCTGGTCAGTATTGTTGACTGGGAAGGACCAAACATTCTGCTTTTTAGATTCAATCTCGTCGTTACTATGTAAATCAACTTTCTACTTTGAAATCAGAAATAAAAATTTTATCTAGTCTAGACAATATTTTAGTGAAACTAAATTTATAGTGTCAGATTCAAAGTTTGGTAGGCGATTTTATCAATACAAAGAAGACGACTTTCAATTTTAATTTTAATTTACACTGTAGAGCCCCGCTCTGGGTTTTAAGCTGATTAAAATTGTTAAACATAAAAGTTAAAAATAACTGTCAAAAAAACAATAAAACTCAATTTAAAAAACCCACCTCTAAGTGGGCTTTTGGGGGTATTATTGTTTTCATTAAAGAATTTTTCTAATTATTGGTCTTTCTTCACTCTTAAAATGAGATTCTTCAAGATATAAAGTCTACTATCAACTGTATTGATTTTTAGGAGTTCCCAGCACTAAACAGACGCATTTATTCATTTTATTCATTTCCTAAGACTTAAACCAATGATCTTAACAAATGAATATTGTACGGATATTAACCTATTTCAAAAAAAAATATTGAATGAATCATTGTAGTCAACATTGTCACTCTGGACTTCAAGACGGTTTCTGGTTTTAGACCAGACAAATACAATACAGAAAGCTTTTAAAGCAATCGATCATCTGCAGTGCTTTCCTTGTTTTGTTTTTTTTATAAAAAGCATCAAAGATATTGATAAACCCAAGAAGATACACTGAACTACATCAGAGCTGAAGTTTTTCGGTATTTACTATTTAACAGTGCAGTGGTCACCCTTCTTGAGCATAGATATATATATAGCGATTACCACCCCCTATCAGAAATATGTATCCAAGTGAGAAAATAGAATTAGTCTACAATTTAAAGAACTAACATATAAAAAATTGCAGTATTCCCCCTAAAAAGGCCCCCTATGAAGAAGGGAGGTGATATTACTGTATTTAAGAGTATTTTTATATGATTATAGCCTATTATCACAACANGGTTTTCCAACCCTGTTAGAGATGCCTCACCATAAATGGAGGAGATTTTGAAATTAAATCCCTTTTAAAAGTTATAAAAGAATAAAAACCCCGGTTTTCCAACCCTGTTAGAGATGCCTCACCATAAATGGAGGAGATTTTGAAATTAAATCCTTTTTAAAAGTTATAAAAGAATAAAAACCCCGGTTTTCCAACCCTGTTAGAGATGCCTCACCATAAATGGAGGAGATTATGAAATTAAATCCCTTTTAAAAGTTATAAAAGAATAAAAAATGTCTGAAATGATCTTTTATTCCAATCAAAACTTTTCAAGTAAGAGTTTTAAATTTAAAGTTTTGACATATCAAAAATAACAGAAACTAATTTTCCCAAACGTCTTAAGAGTAAAAAAGAATATATAAAACAAAGAACAATAGTTTGATTTTAAGTTGAATTCACATAATACTAAAGTCAAGTTTTTTTTTTAGATTTAATTTTTTCATATTTATCTGAAGAACTATCTTACGAGAACAGAGTTTTGAAATCTTAAAACAACAATTAACAAAACAACTATTTTTTCACTTTTGGCTTTTGAATCAAAAGGGTACAAAGTCGTAACAGTATTCCACATAAATTTGACCTTGTCCATTATGTCTAGATAGTATCTGTTTATAGAATCTGTTTATAGTATCTGTTTATATATCAAAGTGATAATCTCTGTTGGTCTGTCTGTTTAAATATCTATCCTAAACTCAGAAACCCTATACCGACTTGTTTCAAATTATGATTGTGTAACTCAGGCAACTTTTTAAGCTTGATTTAAAAGTTTTAAGCTGTGTGGGTTGACTTTTATGAACAAATCTGGGTTCCGTGCAAGTTTAGTCATGATTTTTTTAAAATAAAGGATAATAATTTGAAAGGTTCAAACACCTATTAAATACACTTCAAGAATATTTCTGCATGGATATTATTAATGTAAAATTACTCTAATATTATTCGAAGATAGTCTAATATAACATCAATAACAAAAACGAAATATCTTTTTTTAGATAACCCCTGTCATCTATAAAAAATAAAAGATCTAATGCCCCCCCCCCGCTAGCCCCGCTTAAGGTAAAAGTAAGATTTATGGTGGCATTCTAAAATACTAAGGGTTACAAATGTTGAAAAAAGGGGGCAAATTTAAGTCTGGTGGGGCAATTTGAATAAGAATGTGTGAGTGTAATTTAAAAGTCCAAATTTTGAGGCATTTTCTACAGAGATGGGGCAAAAATAAGAATATGAGCTTATAATGTTATGGTGGAATTTGAGTTTGCTTGAAGAGTGTAGGTTGAAAACAAAAAAATTACTGTGGGGGCATGGACCCCCATACAATCTACATGTGGGCAAACCTTTTTAAGGGGGATGCATGCATCCCTTAATCAGGCTTGGAGGGGGCCCCATGGTCCCCTCTCTAATTGCACGCCTGCATCACATAAGTATAAATTTATTTTAATTCTCTTCAGGATGAAAGCTAATCCCACTCTATTTCATTAAGATTATCTTCTTTAAATCTTGCACTCTGCATATTACAAAATATTAAATTCCTTTTCTTTAGCTTAATCAAGAAATTAAATGAATATTTTTTCTTCAAGGAAGTCCACATTCGATCGCATGAATATTCGTTCCATTTAAAAAAATGTAATTTTTAAGGATAGGAACGAGAAATAAGAAAGGAGAAAATTTTGCGAACTCGATAAAAATGTCAATGAAGAAAAAATATTTTTTTTACACATTTTTATTTTCAAGAAAAAAGAAGAAAAAAAAGTTGCATTCCCAGAAATCTCTCTGCCCTGTTTGCATGTCATGTTATTTACCAGCAAACTAACAGCATAATATAGATAAACTATAATAATGTTTTTCTAATATCCATAAAACAATTTGCTGTCATCAAAAAAGCTGACATCGTACCTTTCATACTTCAATTATAGATTATTAGTATACTAGGAAACTTGATACAGGATTCGGGGGAAAATTATCTTTTTAGATTATTATTATCTATAATGTTCATTGCAAAGTATACACTATAGTAACTAGGCTTCGCACCCACCTTCTATTTTAGTTATAACATTTTATCTTTGTAAACATTATAAATCAATAACAGAAGAAGTTTGCGGATTTAATGAACAAATTCTAGGATTTTCAAAATTTAATGAAAGTCGATTTATTTTGGAGGCTAATTTTTTTATTTTGATCATCCATAAATGTTCACTTGGGGCATGTGAGGTCCCACACAAAATTTGGGCCCGTTTTGACGTTTATTGGATACAAACAGACACCCAGACAAAGTTTTGATATTGATAACAGAAGTTAGGATCCGAGTCAGCACTAACCCAGAAAATGAATTTTACACAATCATAATTTCTGTTAGATCTATTGGAAAAAAAACGAAAGATCGTTCTATGAATGGTTTAATGGTCCCGTCTATCAAGACTTATTGTGCTATTTTGAGTCATGGTTATCGAGATATCTTTAAAATAAATTTTGGTGTTTGTATAATTAAAGTAGATTTATTCCTGACGTTTAGACCAATAAATATGCTCATTGAGGCAACACCAGGCTTCAGAGTTCTTGCAATATCCGTGAAGTAAGATTTACTACTCAACTCCTGAAATAAAATTAAAGAGACTGTAGGCGAAATTCCAGGTGACCCTACATTTCTAGAGTGCGTGTTAGATTCAGTACCTTTAACTGGTCAAGGATGACACGATTTGTGTAAATGTTGATAACTATGTTTACAAGCTGTTTTATATTCAAGAAATATTACTATTTTCCGGCAATTTGAACACCATTTTTTTAGATAAACATTTGAAGTTTTCTGCCGTTGATGATCAGAAGGTTTAAAGGTTCTGTTGTAAATCGGACATGACAGCTTAATTTAAACTACGTGTACAAATCTTACAATCACTAAGACTAAAGTTTAAAATCAATAAAAGGATTAAACTGATACCTTAGGAAGAAGGGACTGAAAAGTGTTGTATACTCCTGCACTGTACAAAAAAAAATTAAAACTTGTAGGAGGGAAGGATGGGTTTTTATTTAAAAATTTCATATTTCAAAAATTGTTTTTTTTTCTTCTTTTATGTTCCTAGAGATGATGATTGGAGCAAGAATCTCTATTTTATCTCCCCCTTTCTCCACTTTCACACCGCACACTTTATCTCCACGGGTTGTAATTTCTAGAATTATAAAAATAAATTCTAGATGTTTTATTTTAAAGAATATAGACTCTTATTATTATCATTATTATAAAAAATAATAACATAATACACTTACTATATTATACAGGGTGTCCCAATAAACATGGGAATTCAGTGACGAATTCGATATCGTCTTTTTAAATAATTCTTTGATTTAGTATAGTGATACCTACTGAGAAAGCTGTAATCCGTAAGAGTTTCGTCTGCTATGTTCACATTTTGTTTGTTTATGCTTTGACTGCATATGGTTGTACTTAGTAAAACAATAGACTCTTATTATTATCATTATTATAAAAACTAATTACATAATACACTTTACAGCCCCGGGACCGGATTTAATGAATTTGAGCCAGGTCTAGCGACGGTTCAACCACGTATCTTGAATTGGTGATTCAGGATTTGTTCATGTCCTAAAGGACTGCAGAACTACAGGTTAGTATTTAAATCGATGGTTGGTAGCTAAGCGACCAAGCTCAAGTTCATTAAGTCCGTCCCGGTTTTTATATCTAAAATTTATAGAAAAATACACGGTATACAACCCTGTTTAGTTATGTGTGTGTAAGAAAATACACGGTATACAACCCTGTTTAGTTATGTGTGCAAGAAAATACACGGTATACAACCCTGTTTAGTTATGTGTGCAAGAAGATACACGGTATACAACCCTGTTTAGTTATGTGTGCAAGAAAATACACGGTATAAACCCTGTTTAGTTATGTGTGTAAGAAAATACACGGTATAAACCCTGTTTAGTTATGTGTGTAAGAAAATACACGGTATAAACCCTGTTTAGTTATGTGTGTAAGAAAATACACGGTATAAACCCTGTTTAGTTATGTGTGTAAGAAAATACACGGTATAAACNGTCACGATAAGTCACGATAAGTAGTTGCTGTTTTTTGTAAGGTAACAAAATTATTGTTAGGAGAATTTCCCTTTTACCCTTTCCAATAACATTAGCTCTTGTCCTCTCTATGAATAGTTTACCTGTAACATTAGCTCTTGTTCTCTCTATGAAAAGTTTACCTGTAACATTAGCTCTTGCTCTCTCTATGTATAGTTTACCTGTAACATTAGCTCTTGTCCTCTCTATGAATAGTTTACCTGTAACATTAGCTCTTGTTCTCTCTATGTATAGTTTACCTGTAACATTAGCACTTGTTCTCTGTATTTTTAGTTTACCTGTAACATTAGCTCTTGTTCTCTGTATTTATAGTTTACCTGTAACATTAGCTCTTGTTCTCTCTATGAAAAGTTTACCTGTAACATTTGCTCTTGTTCTCTCTATGAATAGTTTACCTGTAACATTAGCACTTGTTCTCTGTATTTATAGTTTACCTGTAACATTAGCTCTTGTTCTCTGTATTTATAGTTTACCTGTAACATTAGCACTTGTTCTCTGTATTTATAGTTTACCTGTAACATTAGCTCTTGTTCTCTGTATTTATAGTTTACCTGTAACATTAGCTCTTGTTCTCTCTATGAATATTGAATAGTTTACCTGTAACATTAGCTCTTACCAGAACCCTCCCTCCTGTTTTCTCTATGACAGGAATAATACTGAAGGCGATTTCTGAAGCTCCTCCTATTGGGTAGCTCGCCCCACATTCAGAAAAATGTCTATTTAGCATCGCCTTAAGAATTAAAATAGCATGTCAATGAAGATATATTATATCAACTGACTAATACTTTTAGATTCTTTTTGCCTAAATATTTATAGGTTTAAACAAAAATTTATTTCCCTAAATTTAGATTAGAAATTTTTCCCTTCAGAAAAAATTATTTTCTAATATTTGTTTACCTGCATATTAAAGTTAGATCTTGAGGGCGGAGTTCCATAGTCCCCCCAGCAGTAGGTAAATATGGTCTGGAGATCTTTATTCGTAGTCAACTCATTCACAACATCCATCGTCTTCGTCAAGAAAACCTGGACAAAGGAATTTGACATAATATTTATTTAAAGGAACTGTAAGAGTAACTTCAATTGACCCTCCATGAAAAAATGCCAATGTCCGATTTACAACGGCACCTTTTAAAGCTTGTTAATTAAGAAGCAATAAAGAAACTTTTAGAAATCACTTTTTGATTACGAAAAACAACAGTATAGTAGCTTGCACATTTTTGATCAGACCAAAATTTCAGAGTACCATTGTAAATCAGGCATTGCCATCTTTGAATGGAGGGTCACTTGAAATAAAGCTCACATTCCCTTTAAAAAGACTGTTTAAGGAATTTCGAAATCAAATAAAAAATCTATGTGGGGATTTGCATAAGAATGCAAGTGTAAGATTGGGTTTTCAGTCTGGACCTTCCAGTGAACTTCAGGGACTTAAGTATTTGATTTAGAATTACACAACATTTTTTATTAAGAGACTTATTGATATTGCAGTGAAGACAAGCATACAGATTCTTGAGATTTGTTCTAAAAAAGTATGGTAATATCGACAACAACATTTCTCAGATAAGATTTAATGCATTGTTTGAATAACCTTTAAAGGAAGTGTTCGCAAAAAATAAAAGGGGGTATAGACTTTCGGCGAAAAATAAGCGCTTTTGATCGCTACTAATCTTACTTCTATCTGTTGCGTCTACCATTTAGATATTACAAACAATAATCATCGCTAATTTTTCGACGCATTCGTATATAGTTAATATTTCATAATATTTTTTATTTTTTTTTTGATCTGAGAGTTACTTTAAAAACCATGTATTCCTGTTTCGAGCATTTTTGTAATGAAAACGACATTTCATATTTTCCACCTAAATATCATTTTTAAAAAAATCAAAATATTATGAAATACTAACTATGAATGAATGTCTCGAAAAATAATCGATGACTATTAGTTGTCATATCTGAATGATTTGTTTGGAATTAAATTGATTTTTTACGATCCGAGTTGAATGTTGCAAATTTCTGAATTTGTATGGATGCTGCGTTCTTCAGCATGAGTAGTCTTTTTCTCCTTATAGACGCAACAGATAGAAGAAAGATTAGTAGCGATCAAAAGCGCTTATTTTTCGCCGTAAGCCTATACCCCATTTTATTTTTCGCGAACACTCCCTTTAAGAGTAAACTAAATAACCTGATAAGTTAAAAGAAACAACAATTTAATTCTTTGTCAGTTTTTATTCAACTATGTTATCAATGTTTTTATAATACTAATAAAACACAATCCGATGTACTAAAGAGCCTAACGAAGGAAGGAAGGACAGCCACACCAATTTCTCACCCGAGCCATATTCTCCTTATTTTTTCGTCCGAGCCACCTAGTATAGAATGCCGCAATTTATTCCGAGTTCATAGAACTTCAACCGTAGTTTTTTGTTGGTTAAAGATATCGAAAACGATAGAATCATAGCAATGCTTTAATCTAACCATATTTTATGCCCAAAGCCATGTATTTAAAACATAGTTTTCACTTCAAGGATTTGACCCTTCAGAAACAAATGAATGAAAGGCGAAAAGTTCGATGTGGCTCGGACGAGAAAATGAGGAGAATGTGGTTTGGACGAGAAATTGTTCCTCTCCTCGCCTAACTTTACTTTAAAATTTGAATAACAAAAAAAATAGCAACATTTTCATACAAAACATACAAAAATAGCTTTCCTTTATAAACTACAAATTTAGTATTTTTGTGAGAACAAGTATAATGAAATATGTAAATATTTTCTTTCTTAATATTTTAAATATTTTTCTTCGCTTTAAACCATTAGTCAGACATCTGTAGGTTTATAAGTAAATAGTTTTCATATATAGTGCAATAAAAAAGTTTTAAAAAAGATTGGTAAGGCCAAACCAAGGACTCTATGGCATAAAAAATGATAATTTGCATTATAGTGTGATGGATCTCGTGCGTTATTTAATAGCAAAAGTGGAAATTCTGTTATTGGCTTATTTTTCTGTTTTCTTTCTTATGTACTAGAATAATAATGTGAATTGCAAATATAAAAATAGAAAATAAAGTGTTTTAAGGAGAATTATTATCATTATATATATTTCTTTTTTCTTAAGAAATGTGCTGGAAGTATTTTCGAAACTTGTTTTGAGAGAAAAATAAATTTTGTTAAAATTTTTATTGATAACAGAGGTTTAGCACAACATCAAATTAAAATGTGAAAATTGTGCAATTGTAATTGTTTTTAAATAAAATATTATGTCAAATAAAAAAAATGTTAAAAATTCTTATTTAACATGAAAAATGATACAGTGTGTATTGTGTGCTGTGTACCACTAGACTTGACAACTTAAACATGACCAATTATAATAATGAACATATTTATAATTAATATTTTATGTAAATAAAGTCTCATGTTTACGGATAATTTATCAATTATTCTTGTAAAAGGGACAGTCCATGTACTTTGAAACCGAGCATGTCCAATTAATAACGGACCAGTTTTTCATTCTGATAATTTCACCGTTTGTTCACTGTTTTTACAATAAAAATGAGCAAGTAACTCTTGTAGAGAAACCACAATTGACAATATTGATCAGAATAATGGTAATCTAATTTATTTCTTATCAAACATTAAGTTGTTAAGGATATCGTCGGGATTCGGACATTCTCCGCTAAAGATGGAAGGTCACTTGAAATTACGTCGACAGTCCCTTTAACCAGACCAGAGCCCGCGATTTAATAAATTCGGGGAAATACGGCTTGGGTTTAAGCTGTCGTTGGACCTTATATTTACGACTTGAGCTTTTGGATTCAAGCTGCATTTCATTTTCCACAGGGTTGAATTCAAAAACCGGTTTAATATTCTATTTGGCGGATTTTCATAGTAGGAATTGGCGCATTCCCAGTTTTTATGAGAACAAGACGCAACATTGAACCTTATTCTCCACTAAAACCAACCAAGGTCGGTTTTATTTTCATTTGGCCTAACTCCTAAAGTCGAGCTGAAGATCTTGCAGCTGTCAATCACGTTACACAAGCTGTCGTTGGAGTTGGGTCTTGAAGTCGGGTTTAAGGAATTACGACTCGAGCCGAAGCTTTTAAATCGAGGGCTCTGGGATTTTAATACAAATCGTAATTTCTAATTCAAATTTATAAAATCGTCCAAACCTTGCTCCAAAGTTTTGTAAATCTCTTGAGTAGCCCGGTCCACAGTACTAACTTCACCAGCCATAGGGGGGTTAACTAATAATGATAATAATAATAATAATAATTAAGCTCATTGATAATGATAATGATAATAATATTGATATAGGTCATGATAATGGCAATGATAATGATGATGATAATGATAATTATCAAGATCATTGATAATGATAATGATATTGATATTGGTCATGATAATTACAATGATAATGATGATGATAATGATAATTATCAAATTAATTGATACTGATAATGATATTGATATTGGTCATGATAATTACAATGATAATGATGATGATAATGATAATTATCAAGATCATTGATAATGATTATGATATTGATATTAATTTTGATAATCAAAATAATATTGATATTAATCATGATAATGATGATTATATTGATATTGATATTGATATTACCCATGAAATTATATGCATCATGATAATGATATTGATATTGATATTGATTTTAATAGCTGAAGGACCCGGCGTTGCCCTTGGAAAAAAGTTGAAATAAAAATTTAAAAATAAATAAAAATTCAGCCCAATCGGTCCAGCCGTTTGGCCGGCTATACGCAACATATACATGAATGTCTTGTTTTATTATAATAATCTCTAAATGAATTATCTAAAAAGTTTAAGAAAAATAACTAAAATGGTCCTATTTAATTACAAAGTTTAATTAGTTAAGTTTGCGTTGAGAAAAATCCTTTTTTAATCCATGTGATCAATATCATGAACTAATTTGAGAGAGTTGATATTCAGAACTTTATCTCCCTGAGAATATATTTGAATTTGGTGCCTTGCTAGTTCAACCAGCCGCAAGGGGATCAGAAGGCGCTAGTATCGACTTTGGTAGCCATTTTCATCTGCTTAGTTGCTGGCAAAAAGAGCACAGATTTACTCTGTACAAATTTTTAAATCAAGGTAGTTGGTACCCATTAAGTTGTTTTCTTGGCCCAAAAAAAATGGCGATCTTCTTTTTTTCATTCTATCTCAAATTATATAATTTTCAATTTTGGGTTTTCTCTTTCACAGAGTTGCGAATTAAATTAAAAGCAAGATAAATGTTATAAATCAGGCATCTCTTGAAATTACGTAAATGTGAAGTAAGGATTTGTCTGTTAATGCGATTTAAAGTTAGCCTTTCAACCATTTGTATCATGAGGGGGTGGGGGCCTAGGGGTTCCCCCCCCCCTTTAGTCAAACATCAGTAAATATACCTTGAGTATACCCATGAGAGTAGTCGACTTGTTACAGGATAAAACCAGTTCAAAATATTTCTCTATCCCTGAACGCTCCTCGGGAAACTCAGTCTACTCAACATTTTTGTCTTTGCAACATCTTTAAAACATGTATTTATTGTTCTTACATTTTGTTTGTAACATGCACTTGCATATTGATTGATAATTAAAACTATTTTTCTAACACATTACCATTTCCTTTACAAATTTCTTTCTCAAGTTTTTTACAAAAATATTTTCTTAGCTTAAAAACAAATTCAAAGCTGTCAAATTTGAATACTATATACTTTGCTTGTACTTTAAAGAAAAAAATTCCTTGAGATAATTTTTCCACTCTTGAAGATCAGTTTTGACCAAATATTTTCGGTTCTCTTCGCCAAACCCTTACACGCAAACTTTTATGTTAGGACAATTTTTGGAGATTTTAACGAGGTTGAAAAAAAGTTAATCAAATTGATCAAATGTTTTCATTTTTATGTTATTTTCTTGTTTTATTTTAAAAAATGTAACGGAAAATCTGTTATCAAGGAATAAAGTCCTAAATGAATTTTAATTTGTTTGAAACATTTTTTTATTTTATCCTTCCACAATTTTGATCCGAATGCAATCAAAACTTTTGATATTGCATCGAATTTAATTCAAGTTTTCATTGCAAAGAAATAGATGGAAACATTACAGGACAGGGGTTTTAAACAAATAGTATAGGGAATGCGTAAAGGGTCGGGGGGTGGGGTTGAAATATAAATTGGACTCAAATGGCAAGTTTTTGAATAAATAGTACCAAAAAAATTTGCCCCTTTAAGTTTTCAATATTTAAGAATCAGAACTCTTTTTAAAATATTTTTGCGCTGGTCGCAAAGCTTGTCTATACAGTCTTTAGAATATAGATTTTGAGAGTGGGTGGTGGGGGAGGGGGGGGTAAGTTTAAGAAACTTTATACCACTGATTGTTTGTCAGTGACTAGTGGAAACTACACAAAGAAATAAAATACAAATTGTTTGGAGCTGAAGGAGCTGAAATTAATCAAATTGTTTCTAAATGTTAAGAAAAAAAGTTGAATCTTTGAATTGTTTAGAATTGGATTGGTAAGTACAATGAGACGCAAAAAACAGTGGGCTATGAAGACGACTTTTAGACTAAAACACAGAGCAGCTGTCCAGTGTATGCAACCCAATCTCACTTAGTAATCTGATCTTAAATCTACTGGCTTGATAAAAACATCTAATACTCATAAGAATGTTTTAATCTCGTCTTCCTATTCCACGATGCTATGAGTGTAACTAAATAAATATAAAAAGTTTATGTAAACCTATAGATACAACATCGTAGTCCGGATTCAAGGGCTCCCACTCCAACTGACCTACGCAAAAAAAACATCTTGAAATAAAGTAACTTGAATTAAAAGGGTTCTAACTCAAAATATATTTCCAAGAAATGTCATTTTACAATCTACGTTTGTACAGGGTGTCCCACAAAACATGAAAATTGATAAATAGGTATGAATGTCGTCTTCCATATACTGTATTAGATATTAAAGGATTTTCACAGTTTATTCCGTTAACAAATCTTTTGCTTGAATATATTTTACTTTGAACTCAATTTTACTATAACATGACTCCCAAATAATATTTTTATTATTTTCTTTGGTATCAAACAGCCTAAAAAATTATGGAAGAAGACATTCTAAACTAATCATCAACTTTCAAGTTTCGTGGGACACTCTGTATATCTTTCAAAAAGTACACATAATACACATTACACATTAATAACTTAGACAATTATTTCACTCAAAAATGTTCCGGAGAGCCAAAATATTTAAATTTCTGTCAAAGGTTAACTTAATAAAAAAATGGATTTTTACTTTTTGTGATTGGACCGATTAACTAATAAGAGCCTATGTGTATCATATAACATCTTTACACAGTAAGAAAGCCTTAAATGTGTTCTTAAAGAGCTTATACGTGTAATTTCAAGTGACCCTCCATAAAAAGATGACAATTCGTGATCCCCATTGGTTGCCTTGAAATCCTTATCTGATTAATAATGTGGGAGATATTGTCGTTTTTTTATAAATTCTACATGTTTTCCTGCAGAAGATATGCGCCAGAATATATATAATTTTTTAAAATTATAATCATGAATATCTAACTCTTGATCAGATGAAGCTTTTCTCGGTACCATTGTTAAAGGGCATTTGACGGAGATTCCCTTTAAATTACACGTACAGTCCCATTATTTCCATGAATAAGACTCTATTTTGATAAAGATGGAGATATTATCATTTCCTCCCTGTTTTCCTTGTTACCTTCTGTAATTTGATCACATAGAGTTCTATTAATTGTTGGAGAGTTTAGTTGACCAATATAATGAATTCCAACATCAAACTCATATCCCTACCAAATAGATAATACACTATTTATAACACTATTAATTGTTGGAGAATTTAGTTGACCAATATAATGAATTCCAACATCAAACTCATATCCCTACCAAATAGATAATACACTATTTATAACACGGCTATTTTGGTTCGCAGTGTTATACAGTTTTTGTACAGAAATTTTCTCTTTATCGGGAAGGTTCAAGCTTTTCTAGATTTAATTTTGTCTCGAGCTTCAGGGAGGGACGAAATATAATCTAAAAAGGCGAGAACCTTCAAGGTATAGAGAAAATTTGAGTCCAAAAACGTTATAGCACATCGTGCCAAAATAATAGTTTTATAGGTAATTTTATGAAACGTTTGTGTACTTGTCTTATTTCAATGCCTATTTCTAGATCAAATAAGCTTTGGAACAAAGCAGAAGTCAAAATATAAAGTTGATTTAAATCTTATTTTCAGTTCAATTGAAAAAAAAATATTTTGGAAATATCCTAAATTTAAATAAATAAATGCGAAATTTTTGCGAAAATGTTTGAGAAATTCGAAAGAAAATTATCCGATTAATATTAAATAAAACCAGAATCTCTGATATAAAAATATTGTAAAGTTATGTCTGGTTATAAACTGACCTTGTCTATAAAAGAATGACAGCAGCCTCCAGCCTGGTCATGCTGTTCAAGAACCAGTACTCTTTTACCAGACTAAATAATTCATTCAACAAATTAAATGTTTAAGATTAGAACTAAAATTAGTCGTGACACCAAACAATCCCTGAGTCTGCTTTACATGAATACCAACTAGTCCTCATCATGCCTTAAACATAAATGCAGCGTATGTAAACAGAGGCGTATTCAAGAAGGGCAATTGGCCACAGCCCCCCCCCCCCTTGGGTCAGTGCAATCCATGGTTTTCAGGCTTTTTGAACCACAACGGGTGCTGAGCCACCCCCCCCAGAATTTTTTTAATTCTCCCATGGGACCCCTGGATGTAAACCTACCAACTCCTGATACCATTTCAACCATTATTGTAGCAACTGTAAACTAACGAATCCCTGATGTCACTTCAATCATGAACGCCGCAGCTTTTAACTGATTTATCCCTTTTCCGACCTTGACCATGAATGAATGCAGCAGTTGTAAACGACCTAATCCTTGATTTGACCATGATTGCAGCATACCAACAAAAACCCGATCTTATTGTAATTTTAGCAGCTGAAACCAACTAATTCCTCACTATATCTTAACCATGCATGCAGCAGTTGTGAACCAATCTGTTCCTCATTCTACTCTCAACCAAACCAACTTATCTCCAATCCTACTATAACTTAACATTGATTGCAGTAGTTCCAAACCAATCAATAAAATTCCAAGATCTATTACCTTGGCAAGAAGTGCAGCAGTTGTTAACCCACCTATCCCAGATCCAACAATGATTGCGTCTAGGTCCGAAGGAATCTGAAAGGTTTGTAGTAAACTAAATAAAAATGTTAACAAACCAAATAAGTGTGGGCTATCACGTCTGCCGAAAATCTGTTAACTAAAAAACTTTGTGTTTTTCCTAAAAGGGACTGTAACTGTAACTGTAACTGTAACTGTAACTGTAACTGATAACTGATAACTAACTGATAAATGTAACTGTAACTGTAACTGAAACTGTAACTGTAACTGTAACTGATAACTGTAACTGTAACTGTAACTGTAACTCTAACTGTAACTGTAACTGTAACTGTAACTGTAACTGTAACTGTAACTGTAACTGTAACTGTAAGTGAAACTGATAACCGTCACCGTCACCGTCACCAGTTCTCTGCAAAAGTGACTTGGGCATTTCTTGCTGGAATAAGAAGATTAATGGAGAAAATAATAAAATTGAAATTTTTTCGGTATCTTCCACAGTTCCCCATCGGTACCCAGAAATGCTTCATCTGATTAAGTATGAATTAGATATTCATGTTTATAATTTTGAAAAATGGTTTTCTATTGTAATATCTTTTCAAAAGGGACAGGCGAATTTCTACTGCAGAAACTAGAGGAATCAGAATTTAACGCGTTTAAACCTAGAAAAACGATAATATCTGTCACAGTATTAATCAGATAAAGGTTTAAAGGGTCTCGTCATGAATCGGGCATCTTTACATGGAGGGTCAGTTGAAATTACGCTTACAGTCCCTAAAAACTCATGTTTTTCATGTTTTCTCTACCGTCAATTATAAAGAGAAACTTGTTTTGTTTAATTTTTAAAGTTTTTGTGTAAATTTTCATATTTTACAGACTCCTGTGAAAGCCAAAAAAACTTAAAATGAAAGAAAATATGTTTCTTATAAAAGAAAAATGAAAAAAAGGAAAAAATGTCTACCTTATCTTTTGAAAATCCTTGGCAAAGAATTTCATTCCTTTTCTTTTGGTCATGCACATACGGTTTTCTTAAAAAATAATAGTTTAAAAAAAATAATTAACAATAACGATAAAAAATGCTAATAATTAAAGACAATTATGTTAATAACTATAATAATAATAATAATAATAACAAAAATGATAATAATAACATAATAATGATAATACTGATAATAATAATTATCAAATATTTCAATTTACCTTTTCTTCCTCACATCTTTTTCAAGAGGGTTCCGAGACTTAGATTGCATAGACCAACGGAATATCTAAATATTAAATATATATCAACGGAATATCTAAATATTAAATATTTAAACCAACGGAATATCTAAATATTAAATATAAACCAACGGAATATCTAAATATTAAAAATAAACCAACGGAATATCTAAATATTAAATATAAACCAACGGAATATCTAAATATTAAATATAAACCAACGGAATATCTAAATATTAAATATAAACCAACAGAATATCTAAATATTAAATATAGACCAACGGAATATATAAATATTAAATATATAAACCAACGGAATATCTAAATATAAAATATAAACCAACGGAATATATAAATATTAAATATATAAACCAACAGAATATCTAAATATCAAATATAAACCAGCGGAATATCTAAATATTAAATATAAACCAACGTAATATCTAAATATTTAATATAAACCAACGGAATATCTAAATATTAAAAATAAACCAACGGAATATCTAAATATTAAATATATTCCAACGGAATATCTAAATACTAAATATAAACCAACAGAATATCTAAATAATAAATATATAAACCAACGGAATATCTAAATGTTAAATATAAACCAACGGAATATCTAAATATTAAAAATATAAACCAACGGAATAACTAAATATTAAATATATTCCAACGGAATATCTAAATATTAAATATAAACCAACGGAATATCTTAATATTAAATGTAAACCAACGGAATATCTAAATATTAAATATAAACCAACGGAATATCTAAATATTAAAAATAAACCAACGGAATATCTAAATATTAAATATAAACCAACAGAATATCTAAATAATAAATATATAAACCAACGGAATATCTAAATGATAAACCAACGGAATATCTAAATATTAAATATAAACCAACAGAATATCTAAATATTAAATATATTCCAACGGAATATCTAAATATTAAATATAAAACAACGGAATATCTAAATATTAAATATATATCAACGGACTATCAAAATATAAAATATAAACCAACCGAATATCTAAATATTAAATATATAAACCAACAGAATATCTAAATATCAAATATAAACCAGCGGAATATCTAAATATTAAATATAAACCAACAGAATATCTAAATATTAAATATATTCCAACAGAATATCTAAATATTAAATATAAACCAACGGAATTTTTAAATATATACCAACGGACTATCTAAATATTAAATATAAACCAATGAAATATCTAAATATTAAATATATAAACCAACGGAATATCTAAATATCAAATATAAACCAGCGGAATATCTAAATATTAAATATAAACCAACGGAATATCTAAATATTAAATATATAAACCAACGGAATATCTAAATACTTAATCAAAATAATTAATATTTTTTCTTAAATATATATTTCATAACTTTTTTATTTTTGTATTTCTTTGATAATAAAATCACAAAAACAAAAATCAAACGAATGATAAATATTACTATTTTGTCTAAAATAAATGGATAATTTTGAATGAATATATTGAGGGAAGATGGGGTTAAGTAGACTGAATATTTCTGAAGAACACTTGACTGTTCAAACTTATCCAAATACTCTTGATATAAAGATAATATATAAACACTGCACAATATACAAATGTTGACTTAAAGGATTGTTCCCGAAACTTGTGACGTCTCTAGGGAGAACAAGCAAAAGGTAAAATTCTCGTTTCCTACTTTAAATATCTCAATTTCATATTGGGCTACGAATTTTGTGATTTTCAACTAAAATATCTTTGAAACCCAGAAACTGGAATGAAAATACAAAAAAATATGGATTTTAAATGAAGTAAACAGCTAGATATGGTTCAGGGTGTCCCAATAAAAGTGAGAATTGAAAGACAATTTTTATCTAATCTTTTAAGGCTATTTTTTATTTAGTTTGTGATATAGAAGTTTCGTCTACTGGTTGAAGAAATCTGCCTTTATTTTTATAGAGTAAATAATGATATGTTGAACTAATCGATTTTACCATGGCTTTCATCGATAATTTCTGCTTAGAAAAATATTCCCAAACATGTCATTAGGTTGCTGTATTTTGGATACATTACTGCACCGTCAACTCTAATACTTTGTCTAGCCGGTCACTCCCTTTAATAGTTTAAGTTGCAAAATGGTTTAGAATTTTAAAAGTTTCACAAATAAACTGTTGCTAGTTAACAAATATAAAATATGATAAGGAAATAATGAAGGAAACAGGAAACCATGAGAACAGGATAAAGGAAACAAACAAGTTGAGGATTGTGCTCATTGGTTTGGCATTGATAGTTACGAGCTTCTGATTGATATCAATAGCTTAGAAAATTGTGCTCATTGGTTTGGCATTGATATTGATCATTTGAACTATTGTTTATTCTAACTATTGATAATGACGTCCTTTCTTGTAGTTCAACCAACACCCTATTAATTCATTTGAACTATTAAATATGCAGTTTAAAATTTATATATTTCATGAAATAATATTTAACAATCATCACAAATTAGTTTACATGATCAAAAAATATTTCACATCTGAACATAAAAATAGTTCAAATGACCAAAATAAAGTTCAAATGAGCAAATTACAATTAATTGTTCAAATTTATTTATTTGCTTATTACAACTATTGATTTGCTCATTAGAACTATTTTAGCTCAATTGAATTTTTTTTTGGCTCGTTTGAACTATTTTAATTGCTCATTTAATCAATATATTTTTAGGTTCAACTGAACTATTTTTTTAATAGTTAAAATGAGCACAAAAATAGTTCAAATGCGCAAAATATTATCGTTTAAACTACTACTCATGGTACCACGTGCAATCTAGTTCAAACGACCAATAGTTCAAAAAGTCAATAGTTCAAACGGCAGTAGTTCAAACTGAATAGCACTTTTTCATTAATTTCTACTGTTAAAAAAAATTAATCTGCAATATGACCAACTGTGTCCTTAAGAAATCATAACAGATGAAAAAAGTGTACAGTACTGTACTGTACACTTTACAGTTTACACTGTATAGTTCTTTTGATTGTGGAACTAAAGTCTTCAACTTTATGGTTTTTCTTCCCTAAAACACGATGAATACATCGTAGGATATTTTTCATCAAATTATAATCAAATTCGATGATTACGTAATTACTGAAATGATCAATATGTTAAGTAATGAGTAAAAATAAATGTTTTCCATTTGTGCATAATTTTGCATATTTTTTCTCTTTTCTTTTGGAAACCTGTATTTTCAAAAAATTTATTTAAACAAATTTAAACTACACCATTTATATATGTACTTTTATATCTTTGTGTGTGAATACATCTTTATAATAAATAGTTTCGTGTTTTAGACACTCCTTGGCAGCATGAGTTAGATTAAAAACAAATATATATATATGTGTAATAAATATAGTAATAAACCACATATATTTGAAACCTGAACCTACCTGTATATGTATTACGTTATAATCAATCACCTGACCGTATTATCGGTCAGTTTAAATATAATGAGTTAAATATACACTAAGGTTACGGACGGTTAGAGATACCTTTGCTCGGTAGAGAGTCTGATAGCTTTGTGTGTAGTAAGATACACACTTGGACCTACCAATGTTCTGTAGAGGGTAAAGTGTTTGAAAGGTAATCGAGTGTCTATAAATATATAATTTAGGTCTACCAAATTCGGTAGAGAGGCTAGATTTTACTAGCGTTGTCTATGGATAGAGACACACAAAAAGAAATATTGGAGTAAGGCGTTTATTACGTAGATAAGATAAAATAAGATCTGAAAACCCCCCCATCTTGGAGTCCAGACCGCGAGATAAAATACCGTGAACAATCTCTTAAATGCGTAGTTTCTGAGTGTACCAACGTCATAACAAACTAAAGAATTGAATCTATAGAAAAATAGTTTTCTTTCAGAAACTTTTCAGAAATGTTTAGCTTTGGATAAAAGTTATATTTTTTCATTTAATCTTAAGAACAGACAGAAGCAAAGTAGATAAAGTATTTTTGAAGCTTCAAGTGACTCTGATTTAGAAGTCACTCGCCGATTTACACCGATACCCATAATCCTCTTTATCTGAGTATCAGTGATGGAGATATTGTCGTTTTTCAGTCTTGAAAAGAAATAAATTAAGTAAATTTAATTCAGTATTTTCTTGCATAAAACCTGCAAGTCACTAAAGAATATATTTTGAAGAAAAAAATCTATTTTTAAACAGAAAATTAAAATGAATGATAACTCCATCAAGTCTGCGAAGACAAATGTTTACAGGATACTGTTGTGAATCGGACATGTATACATTTTCATGTTAATTGAAATAACGACAGCAGTTCCTTTACTCTCATTCCAGTCATTTAAAATAAATAAATCTTTCGTAACAAAAACCTGTATGCTCAGGAAGATCGCGATCAGACCAATAGCGATCTTGATCGCTAGCTTGAGCACCGGTACGGTGAAGAGCCACATTAAGTCCATTCTATCTGAAAGATTAATGTAAACTAATCAAATCTCAGAATTCTTATCTCTGGTCCAAAGGTTGAATAGTAAAATGAAAGTATGAAACTATAAATCAGTTATCAATGAAATATCTTAACATGTTCATGAAAGACCGGGTATTTTTATTTTCTTTAAATTTTTATATTTGCTTCTGCGTTCGCTGTCTCTATTACTGTATAGTATAATAACTTGGAAACCCAGTTTTCTTTATAAAAGTCAAACCACTCAACTTAGAATTATTAAACCATGCTAAGAACATTCCGGCCCGTATTACTACCGAGTACCGCATTCAACATTCAAGGCAACTAGGTCCAGGTATTTTAAAGTTATGATTAAACGTTGACACAGACAACCAGCGATTACTAACCTAATCTTTATAGAATAATTGAATAAAATATAACTACGATTAAGTTCAGACATTTTAGGTATATTTGTCTATTTTCAGTTAATTAACCTTAAAAATATTTCAAATAAATATTTCTATGCACACATTTATGCCTTTCATGTATAGTTCATCCTAGTCCGTTTTTTCTCTTATCTTTTTCATTTTAGTTCAAGGTTTAAGGGTACGTAATCTTCTCTAACTACTTCAATCATTTTTTTAAAATCAATATTTGACAAAAAATCAAGATTTTATTATAAAAAATACAGGTAAATCATCAGTAATACAGTAATACACCAGTTTTTCGGAACTTGACAGAGATTATAAAAATGCAGGAAACTAATTTTTGGTTTTAATCGGCATCCATGTGGTCCTCTCCTCCTCCGTTTTGATCGCCAGCCCCAACCTCTTCGGCATCATCATACATCCCCTCCTCATCCCCCTCCTCCCCACCCTCCTCATCCTCTTCAGCTTCAGACTGATCAGAATCAGGATGAAGAGCTGAGCATTCATTCATTGCCTAAAAAGTAGGGTGAGTCAATTTCGATAATTTTCTCAATTTTAATTCTTGCCAACGTAAAAATGCAGAAATTCTTAGGGAATCCAAACCTGTGATTGAAAAAGAAAAAAATTGTTTAAAAATATTTGAAGCCCCCCCCCCACCATTGATGAAATAGAGACACAAGGGCGTTTTATATGTATATGGATAAGAACCCTACCTGAAATAATAGATCTAGACGGGATTTATCATCCGGGATAAACCGTATTTCAGTCATTCCTCCCTCAGAGTCACCCTTCAACATTAAAAACTAGGATGAAGGATCAAGAAAAACGACAATATTTTCCTCATTATTTATCCAATTAAGAGTATCAGTGTGAATTTACCTTGTCTGTCTGGGTGTTTGTTTGTATCCAAAAAACGTCAAAACGGCTAAACCGATCGGGCCCAAATTTTGTGTGGGACCTCACATGACCCCAGGGAAGATTTAAAAGTTTCTTATTTTTGGAAAAGAAAAAGCGCGAAAAAATATTATGAAATACGCAAACTTTTTTGTTCATGTTTTATACTTTACAAAGAGAAGATGCTCACAGAAGAAGCCACAATTAAAAGTTGAATTAGAAGATGGACGCGAAGCGCCCTAAAAGCCTAGTATTTAAAAACTTCAGCAAAAGTATCTAAAAGATAGGACTATAGGACTACAGGATTTAATGGTCCGCAAACACAGAAAACGGGTTTCAGCAACTTTAAGGGGGTGGGGTCACGGGGTTAATCCTAGTTCGAGAATTTGAAATTTAGGGGAAAAAATGACTTAGAAAATAAAAATAAATCTTTTTGAATGAATATTTTAGAAATGGATTTCTGGCGAACGTGTGGCTCATATAAACAAAAAACACTTAGCAATCATATGACAGTGACAGTTATTTTCAGTAATTTTACAAGTGGAGCAAACCTGACACAAAACGATACCCTTTATACTTTTATCTGATCAATAATACTGAAGATATCGGCTATTGACATTAATATAGCTTGAAAAAGTGTTTACTTCTGACATTTTCATCAATGGTTTCTGCAGGGGAAATCCGCAAGTTATTTAATATACAGTTGAAATAATCAATTTACAAATTTTCAATTTTCAATTGTGACCTCATTATCCTCCATATCAGAACCAGCACTGCTCGAGGTCGGGGTAGATTCAGAATCCATCAATCTCACGTCGATCATAAGGTACAAACATTCCTACACACGGAGGTTATAATGTACAGACATTTCTACACACGGAGTTTATATTGTACAGACATTCCTACACACGGGGGTTATAATGTACAGACATTCATGCACACGGAGGTTATAATGCACAGACATTCCTACACACGGAGGTTATAATGTACAGACATTCCTACACACAGAGGCTATTTCGTACAGACATTCCTACACACGGAGTTTTATTGTACAGACATTCCTACACACGGAAATTATACTGGACAGACATTCCTGCACACGGAGGTTACACTGTACAGACATTCCTACACACAGAGGTTATTACGTACAGACATTCCTATACACGGAGTTATATTGTACAGACATTCAAACACACTGAAATTATACTGTACAGACATTCCTGCACACGGAGGTTATATTGTAAAGACATTCCTACACACGGAAGTTATATTTTTTTCAGACATTCCAAAACACAGAGATTTTATTGAACAGAACTTCCTATACACAGAGATTTTATTAAACAGATCTTTCTATACACAGAGATTTTAGTAAACAGATCTTCCTATACACAGAGATTTTAGTAAACAGATCTTCCTATACACGGAGATTATATGCTACAGAAATTCCTTCAAACGGAGATTTTAGTGTAGTTTACGCAAACGAAGGAATTAGTGTACGGAAACAGAGTTAATATCTACCTGAGGAAATAGAGTACGGACATTGATACACACGGAGTTAATATCTACCTGATAAAATAATGTATGGACATTCCTACACACGAAGGTTATATCTACCTGGTGAAATTGTGTAAGATCCCTTGAAACTGCATGAACAGCAATATGTTTGTACTCAAGACTAAAACCCTACAAAAATATAGTAATATTATTTTAATGAATACAAAAATTATTATTATAATTATTTCTCTCTCTCTAGATTTAAACTATTAATAGTATGGTAAAATTTGTATTTCTGTCGAAACTACAGTGTGAACTAAAAAATTCTGGAATAGGAAGACGACATTTTGAATCAAGTTCTAATTCTAAATAATCCAATTAATATAACTACAGTAAGTGTACACTGTACAGTGTAACCAGACCCACTTCACCCCATCGATCGATCGTAAATCAATCAATCAATCAATAAATCAATCAATCCATCAATCCATCAGTCAATCAATCAATCAATCAATCATGTGAACAATTCAAATTCAAATTAAACTTACTTAACAAAGATTGAGATATGGTAATAAAGCAAAATTTTTAAAACCTATAACAACGGACTTCCAACCTTCTGCCAGATTACCAGTAAGAGCTTTAATAATTTACTTGAGTTTAACTTCGGAGTCATCAAAAGAATTTCTAAAATATCACCTTCTAAACCTACTTAAAATGGCCGGGGTGTGTATTTTTATTTCTTTGGAAAAGAAAAA